CCGCACATTAAGTGAAACACTTAAAAACCTCGAAGGCACTGGTAATGTTAAGAAGTTTGCATCAACCGGCTGCACTACGACGATTGGCGCACATTCAATTTGTGGCTTTTTGCGTACTGTCTCAACTTCTTCCAAGTCAAAATCGTTTGTGTGCAATCTGTCCGCAAAGCTTACCGTCACTTTCTTTTGCGCTGCATTGCTTTTCTGGTCCACCTCTTCAAATATATCCCTGCAGCACTGCTTCCGTATGCTGTGTACCGCTTTTATTTCATTTGTAATGCTTCGGACGCAAATAACATTACCCGTGAGGCATGGTTGAAAACGTCTTTTAAAGCACTCAGTTTTAGGTTACTTCCAATGCGTTGTCCCAGGATGCAGACGAGGATACAACACAGTGGCCGGACGAAACAATCATTGTATAAATGAGCATGGTAAGAAGACATTCGACTGCTCAAAATGCAACAAACAGTATGGGTCCGAATTGGGGCTGAAGAAGCACAAATGTAAGGCGATATATCAATCGGACTGATTTTGTCTGGTCTGAAATTTATCGAGAATTCATAGGCAATCAAAAGCACAAGTGCATTTGTACCCATCATCGCAAAGACTTGACTGTGCTGAGCAGAGAGAAATTTCTACAAAATTAAAACTCCGAATTTCTAAATTTGCTTGGAAAACCTTGGTTTTTTTATATGTCGCCGCAAACAGGAAAAAGACCCTTAGTAGCAAGACTCCTTTTCTATTTTAATTCCAATTTCAACTACAATATTACTTGTGTATTTTTGCACTTTTATATGTGTGGATGGACGCATCTGTGTGTGTTTGTTTTTGTATGTGGTATGTATGTGTTAGTGTGTGCATTTATATTTGTTTGTATGTACGGATGTGTGCATAAGTGCCTGTGCGTGAGTGTCTTTGTGTTTGTATGTATTTATGTGTGTGGATGTGCATATATGTGCGTGTTTGAGTTTGTGTGTGTGTGTGTGCGTGCATGTGTGTGTGCATGTGTATGTATGTATGTATGTGTGTGTGTGCGTGTACGTGCGTCACAATGATTCCTCCCCAATACTGCGGAAGCGAGGAAAGGTAAAATTTTGGAAACACGGTCTTCAGGTCAGCATAAACCATAAAGAAAAACCAACATTTTATATCCTTTAGTGTGTTGGATGTGAAATACGAAACAATGTACCAAATTTATGGACCACACGTACGTAATGTGCACATTCACGTACGTTCTACGCATGAATATAAGCACAACAATGTGGGGATCTTAGAACGTAGCTTGTAGATTATTGGGGAAAAACCATAACTACTCATTTATTGTTACTTATTTATTTGCTAAGTAGAAAAATCACTAGTAGCGTGTAATGAATAAATGTGTAAAAATGCGATTGTTACACGAAAACACTAGTATTTCACACAGTATTGAGAACCAAGAATACCAGGGCCGCCTGGACAATTGGCCTGGGTAT